GCAGCACCGTGCCATGAGGGCAGGGCAGCAGGGATGTGATGCCCCCGGTGCGTGGAGGCTCTCACAGAGAGAAGCTGTGGGGGTTCAATTAACTGCCCCCAGCTGAGCTATCCCGACAGCACAGAGAGCAGCTCCACTTCCAAAAAGTCCACTGGGTGCAGCACAGCTCTGCTAAAAGCACTGAGAGCATGAATAATGTAGATGACAGCATTAATTACTTGTATCTCGGGGTGACAATCAGTGAGATTTCCCCTAAAATCTGAGACCTAAGAGGTGCACAGTGCCTCATCCCCTGTGTCTGCCTTGTTCTGCTCATTGCATCAGCCCGCCTGAGTGTTCCCAGCAATGCACCCACCTTTGAGCTGCTTGCTGCAGGGCATCCCAAAGCCTGCGTGCATCCAAATGCTCATCCATGCTTCATGACACATCCCTGTGCACGCTCACCGCCTGGTACAGGGTTGCAGCAGTCACCCCACTCTGCTCCTTACCCCACAGGAGCCTTTCTCATCCCATACACGCTGATGGCTGTTTTTGGAGGGGTGCCCCTCTTCTACATGGAGCTGGCCCTGGGGCAGTTCCACAGGACGGGCGCCATTCCCATCTGGAAGCACATCTGCCCCATCTTCAAAGGTGAGTGAGACCCAGCTTCATGCAGAACCACCACCAGCCCCACACAGGACCAGCAGCCCTATGAAACACCACCAGCCCCATGCAGGGCACAGGCTCAGCTTTCCCACCTGTCCCTCTCTCTCCACAGGCATCGGTTTTGCCATCTGCATCATTGGCCTCTACGTCTCCTTCTATTACAACACCATCATCGCTTGGGCACTCTATTACTTCTACTCATCCTTCTCGGGCACCCTGCCCTGGGCGAGCTGTGACAACCCCTGGAACACACCCAACTGCACCAACTACTTTGGGAGGAACAACGTGACCTGGACCAACTTCTCCAGGTCCCCAGCTGAGGAGTTTTATACGTAAGTGTCCACATGTGGGCAGTGAGCTGGAGTTGGGGTATGTCTTGCAGTGCAGGGAGCAGGATAGGGGGCCTGGCAGCAGACATACCACTGCCCATGGGCATCGTGGGGAGGTGAGACCCTGAGACCCTGTCTGGACGTAGGAGGAAGGTCCTGGAGCTTCAGAAGTCCGGAGGTCTGTACAACGTGGGGGGGATCCGCTGGCAGCTGCTCCTCTGCCTTTTCCTCATCTTCACCATCGTTTACTTCAGCCTGTGGAAAGGGGTGAAAACCTCTGGGAAGGTAAGAGGAACCCGTGCCAATGCTGCTGCAACCCTGAGCTCCTGCCTGGCTAAACTTGGGGCATCGCCTCCTCCCCATCCCTGCAGCCAGGTTGTTGGGTGCTCGGTGCCATGGCTGATGGCTGCCCCTGCTGTAGGTGGTGTGGGTGACGGCCACGCTGCCTTACCTCGTCCTGCTCATCCTGCTGGTCCGGGGGGCCACCCTGCCTGGAGCCTGGAGGGGGGTCCTCTTCTACTTGCGCCCAGACTGGGGCAAGCTGCTGAGCACAGCGGTGAGTGCAGGTGCCCCATCTCTGCCTACCCTGCTCCCCTCTCCGAGGCCAGGAGCACACAGACCCTCCCACAACGTGCACCCACCCCTGTGCACTGCTTCTGTAGAGATGAAATGCCCTGGATGGGCTCTTGGAAATGTAAATCTATAATTGAATCACCCATCTCATTGCTGCCACGGTTTGTTCGAGCCGTGTTCTCGCCCTGGCTTGACAATAGGCTTCCTGTGGGTAATTACCAGGCAACACTTGAAAATTCTCATTAAAGATAACCAGGGCCACGCTGCTGCCTGGACCTGGCAGAGGCTTGAGGCTCCCTCTGGCTTCCTCTCCCCCTGGGCACAGCTTCCTCTCCCCCTGGGCACAGCCTCCAGCTGCCTGTTGCTTCTGCCAGGTCTGGGTTGATGCTGCTGCACAGATTTTCTTCTCCCTGGGTCCTGGATTCGGTGTTCTTCTCGCTCTGGCCAGTTACAACCACTTCCACAACAACTGCTACCGGTGAGCACCTGCTGCAAGATGCTGTGCAGGCATGGGGCTGTGCCAGAGCAGCTGCAGCAGAGCACCACAGCCATGGGCTGAGCACTGCTGCCCATTTCCCTGATGGTGTGGGCATGCAGGGAGGGCTCAGCCGTTTGCCACGTCTCCCTGCCTTCTGTCTTCCAGGGATGCACTCATCACCAGTGCAGTGAACTGCCTCACCAGCTTCCTCTCGGGTTTTGTCATCTTCACTGTGCTGGGCTACATGGCTGAGATGCGGGATGTGGAGGTGGAGGATGTAGCCAGAGACAAAGGTTTGCCCCCCACTGCTTCAGAACCCCATCTTGTCTGGCCTCACGGTGCCCCTGCTGGAGCTGGGATGTCCCTGTGCATCCAGGGGTGCATGGATGGCAGTGAGGCCAGGACTGCTACACTTTATGAAATCCCACTGCTTGCCAGCACCCAGAAGAAAGGCAAAACCAACCTGCCTTCCTAGGTCCCAGCCTGCTTTTTATCACCTACCCCGAAGCCATCGCCAACATGGTGGGATCCACCTTCTTCGCCATCATCTTCTTCCTGATGATGATAACGCTGGGGCTGGACAGCACGGTAGGAACCTCTGCAGCAGCACTGACACAACAACAAGGGGAAGATTCCGTCTCATTCCTGTGCTCCGTTTGCAGTTTGGGGGCCTGGAGGCCATGATCACCGCCGTGATGGATGAATACCCGCAGGTCCTGGCCCAGCGCAGGGAGCTCTTCGTCCTCGGCCTCATCACAGTCTGCTTCCTGGGCTCGCTGAGCACCCTCACCTACGTGAGTACAGCCTGGGGAAGATGCTGGCCTGCGCTGTGCCCCATCAGTGAGCACAGTGCCATCCCACCAACCCATCTCACTCCAGGGCGGTGCCTACGTGGTGAAGCTGCTGGAGGAGTTTGGTGCTGGCTGCTCCATCCTGGCCGTGGTGCTGCTGGAAACCATAGCTGTGTCCTGGTTCTATGGTAAGAGGGGCACCAGGATGGGATCTAGCAACGGGATGGGACCTGGAAACCAGATGAGGCCTGAGTCCACGGGCTGCAGCTGCCTTGCCCCATGACGGCTCTGTGCTCCGCAGGGATCCAGCGGTTCTCCCATGATGTGAAAGCCATGCTGGGCTTCACCCCAGGGCTGTTCTGGAAGGTGTGCTGGGTGGCCGTCAGCCCTGCCCTGCTGGCAGTGAGTAGTGCATTTCGCAGCCCCTCCTGCTGCTGTGCTCCAGGGCAAAGCTTGGAGCTGACAACCAGGCAGGATTGCTGAGTGCAGCTCTGAGCCTTGTGTTGCAGCTGACCCACAGCTGCAGAGAGCCAGCAGGGCTGCTCAGTGCTGGAGCACATCCACGAGCTGCTTCCTGATTGCCCTCTGTGGGTTCTGCAGTTCATTGTGGCCAGCTCGCTTCTGGAGCAGCCACCCCTGGCCCTTTTTGGCTACCAGTACCCAGCATGGAGCACCTCCCTGGGACACCTCATAGGAGCGTCTTCCTTCATCTGCATCCCTGTCTACATGGTGTACAAGTTGGTCTGGACACCGGGGTCCCTCAAGCAGGTCAGAGCTTCATCAGCACAATGCTGTCCTCAGCTGTCACCCCTCCTTTTCACCAGTTTTTGGGACATCTCTGAGCTTGGGGCCATTGCAGCCCAATGGAAGAGCAGCAGCTCCCGCTAGCAGAGCTCGAGGTCCCACTGCAGGAATGGAACCATTGCTTTTCTCTTCCTGCTTCAGCGCCTCGCTGTCTGCATTCGGCCAGAGAAAACAGTGCGAGACCCCCAGGCAGAGGTGGTGGGCATGGAGCCGGTCCTGTAGCACGATGAGGGGATGCAGGGGCTGCTCCCTGTTCCCACGTAACGCCATCAGGCAGGCAGAAGGCTGTCACTTCCACCATCCTCTCTGCTGACTGGCCCCACAGCTGCAGGCATTGCAAGCATGCAGTGACCACGGTGCCTCCTGCAGTGCAGTGTGCGGGCGCTGCATCGCTGCTCCATGTGTTGGTCCCCCTTCAAAGAGAAAATGAAGCCCTGGCTGTGAGCAGGCTGTGTGTTTTTTGGCTTTGTGAGGTTCATTTCCCCCATGCTCCCCGTTGGGCTGAAAGCAGAACCCCAACGTATAGCAATGTCCCCATGGTCACTGTCACCTTGTCTGGCTGAGGGATGCCTGTGGTGCCACCATGCCGCTGGCTCCATGTGCCCTCATCAACTGCTGTCAGCCCTCCTGTCCCCACAGCAGCTAACACAGAACAGAACAGAACTGGAGGGTGCAGCCAAGAGCTGGGGGCAAACAGCGATGGAGGGGACCCAGGGCTGGGGGCACACAGAGGGCTGGAAGAACACATGGATAGGAGGCACATAGAGATGGGGACAACAGCGGGGTGGGGAGAACATGAGTTTGGGGGTGACACAGGGATGGGGGACAAATAGGGATAGGAGATAGTGATATCTGATAGTGATAGGACAAGGGGGAACAGCTATAAAAGATGGGAGATTGAGGTTGGATGTGAGGAAGCAATTCCTCACTCAGAGGGCAGTGAGGCCCTGGCAGTGCTGCCCAGAGCCGTGGTGCCCCATCCCTGGAGGCGCCCGAGCCCATGGATGGGCAGCCTGAGCTGGGGGCAGCCAGCACACGGCAGGGCTGGGGGGGCTTTGCGGTCCCTTCTAACCTAAACCATTCTATGACTCTATGAGACACGCGGAAGTGGGAAGAACAAGGGAACGGAGAGAACACGGGGACTTGTGCGACACGGAGATGGGGGAGAACTCCAGAAACACACAGACGGGCAGAATTTGAGGCGGGGGAAACGCGGGATCGGGCGGCGCACAGCGATGGGGCGCGGCGCTGACGCTGGCGGGGCGGGACGGGCTGCAGGAAGAGGAAGCGCCGCTCTTCGCCGTGCTGAAGAGCCGAGCCGAGCCGAGCCGAGCCGAGCCGAGCCGAGCCGAGCCGAGCCGA